GGAAAACGCTTCGCCGGCTGAAACTTGTAAAATCAATTATCGACGTTTCGCGGTGAACCTCCGGTGAAACCGATCTCGACGTGAATCGCGGCGAAGACGAAGATCGATCTACGCTGGCTGGCAGCCGGCGGAAGAAAGCCAGCAGAGACGAGTGGAATTGCGAATCGATCCACTTATTTTCGGCTCGCGTTCCGGCCGAGTTGAAATTCACCCAGGCCTTCAAGACAGTTCTCACGTATTTACGGGGAAAAACTTCGCCCCAAGTTTGTTTGCGCTCGGTCAGAGTGAGAAACAATGAGAAGCTCGTTTAACTTCATTCAACGCCCGGTAATTCACTTCTGGCGCAATAAAAATCCCTGGCCGAGCGAAAAAACTGATTCGCGCGTGTACTTGTTTATCGCGGCAATATTCTCGACGGGGCAGCTAATTCCGTCGAACAGGCTTATCGACGATACAATAAGGGAATCTCCTATATCGTTTTCTAAAGCTAATAAATTTCACGGCGTGCAACGCCACCGGCGGCTAAGGCGATGCCGCCTTTCATCGGATAAATTCGTTACCGGATAGCTCTCACAAAAATTACTGGCCCGATGAATCTCGATGAAAAGCAGCGCGTTTAATTAAATTGAAAGTTCTAATACGAAAGAGAGATAACGTTTGATGTTCCTCGCCGTTACGTATTTTCTTCCCTCTTTGTTTCGGTGTTGATAAAGCATTCGAGTCTGCCACGCGAACTAGAGGAGGCACCATTCGTTCTGTATATGAAATAGTGGGAAATAATTGATCGCGGCGTGGGGGGAAAGATTCGCGAGATGGAAATTTATTGCACTCCTTTAAGGCCGTTTCTGCGAGAGAGTTAACGGCGAAAAATAAAAGTGGAGGAGCGAGGAGAGAACGGCTGCTACAAAGGAAGAAAGAAGTGTCGCCGGCGAACGTGGAACGCGTCCGTCGTATAAATTACCCGATCTCTAATTAAGCAGGACCGAAGCTCGCTCGTTATGGTCGAGCTGTTAATCATCGGACCATCGTCGTTACGACTGAAATTTTTCCGCCGCTTGCACGGTCACGTATCTTCTCACCAAGAGGTGAAATTCCCTAATACTTTTGTTGGCAATGCCTAACAAGAAATTCGCATTAGTTTCACGGTTCTCCTCCAGCTATGTGTACTCCCCCGAAAACAGTTCGTACGTCGACTTTGACTAAAATCTTTGAAAACTTAAGACGAAGATGATGATTCAGAATTTATCAGCAAAATCGAACCACGCACAGTTTTTAGACAATATTTCAACAAATCCCCAATTGTGACTGCGATTCGAACTTTAACGAATAGATACAAAGAATAAAACTTGCGACTCACCGTTCGTAGATCATGCAGCGATGCAGATTCAAGAGGCGTCCCTTTGGTCCTGATTTTCACTTCGTTGGCGGATAAAAGGAAAAAAGTTGAAGCGCACACGCGGGAACCGTATTCCGTATACACCGAACTATATCGATATACTATTCATGTGCGTTTTCTATGCGCGGATGGTGTCACAAGCGCGTATATTCATATCTATACACTGAACTGTCAACTTGTTATCGATGTCGCGCTCACAATCCAAAAAATATGGAAGGCAGGATGGTACATGGGCCCAGGAAGAGGAGAGCATGGGAAAAGCGATGACATTTCTGAGACGAGTGAAAGGAGAACTGCCAAATTATTTCCGCCGTTCGCCATCTTCACCTGCGTGATCATCATAGAAAAGTATTTTTTTTAAATTTCGCTTGCAAATAGTAAGGATAGTAATATTAAATTTACATGCAAATATACGAAATTACTGTTGTACGAAAAATAATTCAAATGAAAATAAATGGCTTCGAGGGATTATAATCCGACATAATTATTTTTTTCTGTATACGGGCATGTAGAGATCTTTTCTACAAGAACGTATTTATTTATGATTGGAAGATGTATCAATTTTGTAAAACCTACAATACGATAACGCTCTAATACGGTAGAATCTTGAATCAATTCGGTATGTAAAATTTTTTCATATATAAATAAAGATATATTTAAACTGTTACCTCAGGATCGCGGTACATTCGTTAATTCCAGAAGAACGAAATCGCCCGATAACTTCACGAATCCTGTTTAAGCGTACGGTGCCGCGAGTATATTTCGGTTATGCGATTCGAGGTTGCGATTCGAGGCTATTCTCGAAAGCGAAGCCGGAAATTAAAGAGTCTTGCACAAACGACCGACCGGAAGAGACGGCGATGTTTTTCTGTTCTGCGTGGCTCCCTAAATACGCGTCAAACAAGGCACGCCAAAGAAAAGGGGACGACAGAGAGGGAAAAAAAGGAGATGGAAGGGGGCAGGAAAAAAAACGTAGGTGAAAACGAGATAGCAATGACCAATTTTTACCGATACGGACGCTAGCCGCCTATCTCATTTCAAACGAGCGACCGACCCAATTTCGCGACAATGCGCCGCACTCCCTGCGAAAGAGATAGAAATGAATAAACGATA